ACCTGGAGGTACATGACAAATATTGCATTCTAGTAATAAAGTCCTCAATAGTGAGTACCCACGACCCTAACAGGATTAAGTTAGCAATAAGCGAAAGCCATCAATATAGTTTTTTCTAACATTAGTTTGAACTATACTGTTAGCGGGACACAGACTAGATTAAAGCATGCTCAATGCATGATTGCTTTGGTGTACGCTGATTGGCTAATTCTTATCCAATCAGCACTAGTCGATAGTTGGAGAATACTCTGGAATCTTCTTATGTAAAAACTATAAATATACTGACGTTTTCCCTATTGTGCTTCTGGCTTGCATCTTGCCTCCATCTAACCTTGTTATTTGGAATATAATCTCTTTCCTGTTCAACCGTGTTCTGATTTGGGGTCTTGTCGAGTGAATCGGTGTTCGAGAATACTAAGCAATAGGAATAGCTTGGTCATAACCGTAAGAAGAAAGAGATTATAACATATACATTGGTACATTTTAGTGAAGAACACTGTGCAAACCGCAATCGACTCTGATAACGCCTCTATAAATAAGCTATTAATAAGTATGCTGCTTTTCTGTAAACAAAAACACGACAAAACGAAGGTTTATATGTGTAAAAATGATAGACGTACGATGATATATCAAACTTGTAGTGAACGTTTTAAAGCAGACAACAATTAAATTTTATGCTGAAAATGAGACGGCCAACTAAGACTAATCTAACGAATTGTTAAGAACGATACACTGACAGTACTCCACCTCATGACTAAATAAGGACAGACTAGTTGTTTTTGAGCCAGATTAAAATCTAAATAATAATCTGCTATTCAGAGGTGACCTTAACAGTTATCAGTCACTATACTTTTCACAGTTGTTTTACATTCCAGTAATCTTGTTCATATGTAAAATAGATGTTTGTATTCATTGTTTTCCACTACAAGAGCATTAGGCTCTAGAGCAAAAACGATAGCAGCTCGATCTGAAACCAATGATCATCACATATCAGCTGGTCGGATCAACTCCAATTCTCTCGTCTTATTAAGTACCCCCTGTATATATGCATTCTATTGAATCATGATTACATAAAAGCCTGTTATTTCATGATTTTTCATTCTTTTTTAACCCATCAAGGCTTTCAAGGTTATATATTTCATTAAATATATCTAATTACTTACAATTATACGTTAGATCTATCAATGGTAACAAGATAAACTACTTTTATCCTGGTAAAATGTTTTTATTATCGAAATATCATTAGAATTATTGGCTGTTAAGATGGAATAAAAAAGAAATCAAAGTTTTATTTAAGCTAATCTCATGAATTTGACTACTTACTTACTGATAGTGACAAGTGGATGAAATCATATGAACAATTCTTTTTCTACTAAATATATCTTTACATGACAATATCTTTCTTTATTTAATGTAATATTTTACTTTGAGTATGACTCTACATAACAAATCTGAACTAAGGACGGTACAACAAAAACAGAATTTTCATAATAATATACCTTTCAGTAAAATATAGTTGTATACTTAACATTTATCTTGGTTTTTTCGTTGTCATGCCCATGTTTACAATATTGGTTGCTTCTTTTCTTTCAGTTAGTCAGTCAGTAACAACGTAGAACTTCGTACGTACGTACATCAGTTCGAGTTGCCATACCACATTAGCACAGAGATGCAGTTGTCGACTCAACTCCATCTTTCTTTTCTTTACAGAAAAAGGCATTAATTAATAGGCAAACATTTGTTTATTGTTGTTCATCAGAAAAAGAAAACAAATACTGCTGATAAAAAGTAATAACTTGTCATGATTGAGATATCTTAAAAGTAATGTTAAATCAAAGTAAATACTAATAAGATTAAACGATTTATTGAGTTTCATAGTTCAAAGTTTGCAGAGGAAAGAAAAGTCACTTTAAACTTAAATCTAATAACGATGACTTTAAGTGAAGAGTATTCTTTATATATGTATATATATAAACTCTGGTTTAGAGAACTCCGCCTGGAGCCCCTCTGGGGCTACTGCCGGTCCCAAGCCCGGATAAAGGAGGAGGGTTGGGCATGGGGTTAGCGACCCCATCCCATAGGAAACTAACTCTCTAAAAAACGTTAACCAGAAAAAAAACGCTGATTTACAGGAGTATAATGAGGCTAACTTACATGTAAGATGAATATAACCTGATTATTCGGACTTCAGTAACACTGAATAAACTTAAATTTTAGTCTAAAGAATATTGATAGACCGTTTCATACTTTTAAATTCATACTGAAAATTATTAATGAATTAGTTCATGTGATATGTTTACCTAGTATAGGATTCTTATTATTGATTTCAGTCAGGCTAAATGTATCACAACAATGCCGTCAAAAACTAAAGACAATAGAGTGAGGTTTGTAGGGTTTGACTATTAAACATATTTTTGTGAAAAGTTAGACATCAACTATCAATTCACTTAAGTAACCCTTTAATCTTTATACGATCATTGCATAAATACAGATTCTTGTACTAACGAAATGTAGAATCGTAGCTAAGATTAAGAAGTTACTGTCTCTGTTTGGTTAAATTGATAGTCCACTTGTTTCTAAAAAGCAACTTTATCCCTTAGATGAATGGCTCATAAACAATCAAAGCACAAATTGGTTTCATTAATAGACTGTTATTTTTTGCATGAAATAACTGTACAAATTGAATGTTTTTGGAAATAATTCCAATATTTTTCAAATTTTAATCAAATTCCTTACGAAATGATTTTAATTTAAATTGGCTCTTTTTTAAGCATATATATGCATTTTCATATAACCAGTTGTTTTATTTATTTTATTGTATCTTTGGTAGAGCATATTTTCCTAACGACCTACAGCAACCTCAAAAATCGCCTTGATAAAGTAAATGTAGTTTCTAGTCGGTCAGAATGCTAGTGACGTAAACTTATTGTACAAAAACCCCAGAATGACTATAATTTAGGTCTAGAGGTTCGGGCTAGGATTAAGAACAAGTGTTACGATGATCATTTTGGGTTAAAACTCAAAGTTATGAAAGAGTGTTAAAAGTTAGTCCTTGATTTGGATGGAGGAATTTAGTAGGGAATATAGTTGAAAATTAATGTGTAATCATATGCATGAATACTTATGTGGTTAGATCTCTAATGTTATTTAGAAACTGTTTTGTCAGAAAAACTTTTAAACAAAATTAGACTGATACAAAACAAGTCGTACCAGAAACGAGTGGCTGGAAAAATCACTAGAGTTAGAAGAATAACATATTGGTGTTTTGGGTTCATTAGAAATTTCAAACCACTGCATATCAAGTAACTGTTTAAAAACAAGTTTTTCAGAGGAATAGAGTCTCCTAGTGGGTATGTTGCTACTATTACAAATAATTATGCCCATTCTTATGCCTGGATAAGCAACACTAAAGCGGTCAGAATACCTGACTCTCAACATCTGATTAGTAGGTTCGAACTTCACTCTATCGATTCAATCAGCCGAGTAGTATCACTACTCCTGGACAAACTGAAACCAAAAACAGAATACGCAAAATCGCAGTTGACATATTAGCTGACGCAATTATTTAAATTTGGATAAACTAGGGACGTTCAAGAAAAAGTAATTTAAATGCAGCACAAATATGTATGTCGGTAGAAATGAACTGAAAAACGTGATAAACACTCAATCATTTGACAATGAGATTAAACCAAACTGCTAGAGGAGACTAAGGAAACAAAGAGTTTGTTGACTTAATTTATTTTATCTAAGAAAATTCATCCATCTCACTATTTCTGATCACATAATATACTTAAGTACTGATTTTTCTCCATATTTTGTGGATTTTTTTTAGTAAAGTGCACGACTGTTGGAAAGTCATTTGAAGCAAATTCGCGAACGTGAACGGTCAACGGTGATTTTAAAGAGAACAGTGGGATTTAACGGACTTAAGACATCTATCATCCAAATAATTTTCACAATATTTAGTTTAAACTACCGTGTATGTTTCAGTTGGCACGATTCGATAATTTAGTCAACATATCTTTGGAGTACGGAATTGTGGTCAAATTCAAAGTGTTCAAAGCCATAATCTGCAATTCTAACGCAAATCACAGCCCGATTAGTCTGTCGAGCAAATGAGCATCACTCCTGTTTTTGGGTGAAAGCTAAGTAATACAAGTATCTAAGCATAAACGCAATGACATTCACGATGAAAAACCATGGATTCATAAAATGTAAAGCGAATACAATATTAGTAGCAATCAGTGCTTTACAAAAAAGGAGAAAGAGTTCAAAGTACTTCAACCTCTTTTAGAATTACATGAAAAATTTGATGAACTTTTTCACGTCGTGATAGACAAATTAAATAAGATATCATCGATAAACAGCTAGTTTTTGAAAAATATAACAAACAATATTTTGTTTTTTTTCTGGAGTGATTATATTAAATATTGATGTATTTTCTGAGGTGATTTTGGAGACCTAAATCCGCTAACATTCATCTTAAACGATTACAAAATTTATAAACTTTAACTTATCGGGAAAATTAAGGATCAGATGGATCGTTTCACGTACTAAATAAAAGTTCAAATCTTCAGTAAACTCGTTTAAGAGAAAGTTAGACATTCACAAAAGGATTAGCACAGGCTACTAGCCTTCCGTCTCTATTAGACGAATTACATAAAAATCATTTGTTCTTTGAAGATATATACGTATATAAACATCATCTCAGGATCATGTAGATAGCTTAGATTTACACAAGCCCTTGTACTACCTCAAAAGCACGAGACTAATCTAGCTAAATATGATTCTAAACGTCTGCAGTACTTTGAACAATAAGGTGAAAAATTTGTTTTCTTCTAAAACGGTCACACTTTTGTTGTATAAATCAGTACATAATTCTAAAATACTATGAAATAGAGAAGTTTCCAGCTAAATATGATTATAGAATACAATTATCATTCCATATAAGTCAAATAGGTCCCCAAAATGTTATAGAACAAAATAATAGACCGACTCACCTCTCCAACTGGAAATGGAACTTTCTTCAAATTCATCCATTTTCCCACTATCAGGAGGATATAAAGTGACTAAAACCTTGATAAAGTCAGTTATCGTTAGAATTCCTGAATAACTCTGTTTGGATGAATCCCATAGTATAGCAGCTCGAACATTGTTATATATGAGTGCATAAAACGCTTTTTTGATCTGAACATTTAAGAAATTAGGTTGACATGTGCATCGAATCACTTACGCTCAGTTTTGTATCTAGAACAACAAGCTTGGCGCTTTCGGGGAGTAGATCATAGCAAGTGTGGTATTTGAGAAAAACGTAATAACTGCTTTTTTCAGGTTCTACTGTTATTGTATATCAGAGATTCAGAATTACCTAGAGGCTCAACTGTTAACATAGAATTAGGACGTCCATCCTGAAAACACCACATGATATACATGCCAGTTATATAACAACCAACCTGATTGTAAAATACCAGCGAGTTTACATCGTCCGATTTATTCCTCTTGATGAGGTTACTTAACTCCTCCAATTCCTCCCCAGAGCGCGTAAGCTTATTCGGGCATTCCATTTATGCGCCAACATTTGATAACCTTGCTTCTGTTACACTCAAGGATTGTTGATTCAAGGGACTTTCAATCGACGTTCGGAAAAAATGTTTACTCGTCAACTATTGTTTTTGAATAATTAAAAAAACATTTCTGAATAAAAATTTAAGGTTTACGTTTGTGATCAGTTTTACATTATGGTGAAGGATTATTAGAGAAAGACCCAGATTTTTATGGCAAAAATATGGATTTGCAGTTACTTGAGGGAAATTTCCGACTTGTTACTGTGGTTTTTCGATTGTCTGGCCTAACCATCTCTTCACTTTTATGCAATTCCTTCGTATTCTAGGAAAAGTAGTAACTATTAATACCAAAAAACATTTATGGATCAAGAGAGATATCTTCTTAATTACTCGAGTTCAAATAAATTTATGTTTGAGTTTCTTAGTGATTCAAAAACGGATTGATTGTGTACCTTTTTTGCAATGCACATATAAATCATTTCAAGTGTTACATTTTCACATTTTCATGTGTATTTTTCTGTGTGTTGTAAACATAATATTTTCATTCCTATCATTCTTACGGAATATTATGAACAGTCCAAAAATGTTTTCTGGGAAGATAATATATTTAAACTATTGTTTTATTGGATCAGTTTTCCTGCCTTTAATATTTAAATTTTGACATTGGGTTCTTCCTGCTTGTTGTCTTTATTTGACACTCGTATATTCGCTGTAGCAAGCCGAGGAAAAAGAACGATTTGTATATTCAGGAGTCTGGTTTCTGTTAATTGCTTCGCTTGTTTCCTTGACTTTGTGCAATTGAGTTGTAGTGATATTCTTGTTGTTTGAATTAACTGGTAAATTATTTTCGACGGCTGATGTTGTTTTTGAAATAAAGTATATAATCCGTCAAAGTTAGTTGTGACATCTACTCGAGTTACACATAGCTTCCTCACCCCACACAAAAGCTTGGTTGCTTTATTCGGAATTTCGGTTATGACAGCTCCTAACTTACTTACTTTCCCCCATCAGATCACATTTCGGTGTTCGGTATTTGTTAAAAATATTCCTTTGTTAGGTAAGGCCATTAATTAACAGTGCTGCTGAATACAGTGATTTTGGTCTTTGTGTCCAACAATACATCAATTTATCAGGACACAAGAAAACATGGCTGCTGATTGACTGAGTAATATTGATAGTATTGGTGCCAATTTTGACTTGTCTGCTATAGCGCATGACAAGTGTGGCATTACTGTATGACCGTATGGTCATGCTATATGAAGCTAGTCAAGGATTAGTTGATACTTAACCGTAGTTAAGTCTAAAAAGCTAGGGTTTTCACTGAGGACAGGTATCACCGATGTAAAGTAATGACTAGCACAACTCAAACTATGAGATATAATTACGAGCTAACTGTCCCTGTGGTATCATTTTGACGAAAACGCTACTCCACATGAGGTCTAGTCTAGCTGTATGAGTGCCTGCATTGCGATCGTGTGTGAACTCATGAGCTGAAGTGAATGTGCCAAAATAACGAAACCTAATAAAAGACAAAATAAAAGGCTACCATATGTTTACCATCAAAATGTGCTATCTTATACAGCTCTGACTAGCAGTTTAACATTTTTCTAAAACTAATTGTATGCTGGCTTTTCTTGAGTCTAGTCAATGTTGTATCCAGTACCTTTGCCATTTAGCTTGACCCCGAATATCTGAAAATACGACCAAATGTGTATAGTGGGTTATAACATCCATACGCAGATTGTCCGATGCACAGTTGCACGATCTCGTCGATCACAATTTGCTTCAATTTAAATGGATTTGGGTTTAAACATTTTACCTAACTTAGAGCCTTTGTGATTTTGGAAGCGACGCTAATCGGCTGTGCGCTAGGGAGATATTGGTTTTCATGTTAGCTTGCAGATCCTAGAAGTGGCTAATGTGCTGTATGGTATGCACCTATGCTTACTGTAAACCAAATGCAAATGAATGAAAAATTAAGACATTTGTCCTTTTGCAGCAACTAGAAACGATAACAATATTTTATGATGTTAAATTCATACTTAGATTCCGTTTTGGCTTGTCTGATCTATAGAGGAGTGATTAACATTAGATCACTGGTAAAAGATGAATGCAGACGACTGTTTTACTCTATGGTATTAGATTGTACGGTGACGTGTGTGTTATTTTGTACAAACTCTCTATGGACTATAGAATATTTCCCCAAGTCACTAATGACACAGTTATCAGTATCAGTAAACTCCATGTTGAGATTTGATACAGGGCAACGCCATGATAATCAACATACGGTTTTTTCACGTAACTCATTATTCATTAAATGCAATGGGGCACAACAATTTTTTTAGAATGATTCGGTGTTATATTAAATATAGTGACGTGCCAGATGATTGAAGTCGTGTGTATACGTAGCCGTATTATGTTTGTATGTTACCTTTGTAACGACCGAACAGCCAATATTCGGTTGGAACAACGGACTGACGAACCCAAAATTTATTCGATTAGACCAGACCAAGTTCCTCTGTATAGCTCACAACGCGTCTTTGAGATACTCGTATTATATTATATCAAAACACAAACTCTGTGCTCAATATAAACGTTTCTAATTAAGAACAGAACAAATTACATCAAAATTACAAAGTACCTCAAACGGTACAGCCTGTGCTATACAGTCAGAAGTTTCTCTAACGCAAAGTAGCGAGCTGAGAATCAATACAAATATTCCCAATCAGATGGGATCAAATATCTATCTGCAGGGATTGCAGCAATTCTCCCAAGCAGACAGTCAGAAGCTTAACAGTCACGGAAAAAGAACAGTGAAAATTCCTCTGCAGCTTCTTTGTTGAACAGTATTTTCATTTATTTGTTCCTTCTCGCTTTTGTGTATTCCAACCTTTGTTTCGATCTCGTTTAACCATGTCTTTTGTTCTTCAGTCTTCCCCGTTTGAGCCTTTATTATGTGATTTGATTAAAGACTTATTTTTGTTACCTAATTTTCTATTGCATGTTGCCGGACCATTGACAGTAAGGTTGTGTTTGACTAAGCCCAAGGTCACGGTGTGGTTCATTTTGTGACTGTTAACCTTCTGACTGTCTGCTTGGGAGAATTGCTGCAATCCCTGCAGATAGATATTTGATCCCATCTGATTGGGAATATTTGTATTGATTCTCAGGTATCAAACCCTTTAGTATTAACTGTCTCTTTCATTGTTTAGCGCGCTACTTTGCGTTAGAGAAACTTCTGACTGTATAGCACAGGCTGTACCGTTTGAGGTACTTTGTAATTTTGATGTAATTTGTTCTGTTCTTAATTAGAAACGTTTATATTGAGCACAGAGTTTGTGTTTTGATATAATATAATACGAGTATCTCAAAGACGCGTTGTGAGCTATACAGAGGAACTTGGTCTGGTCTAATCGAATAAATTTTGGGTTCGTCAGTCCGTTGTTCCAACCGAATATTGGCTGTTCGGTCGTTACAACCTTCACTGTAAAAGCTTCTACTTTAAGCTTTTATGTTTGTCACAGGTCAATCGAGAGATATCAGTTATGTTGGGCTTGACCACTTAGACTAACTAGCTAATGCTAATGTGGCTCGTCTATTTAAATTTTAAATTTTTGTCAGCAATAACATTTAAAAAGCATTATTCTCAACTCATATGTGTTTTATAACTGGATTGATTAGGTTAACAGTAATACTCTCAAGTAGCCGATATTTCTGTGTCTTGTTGGCACAGTGCGCTTGTAGTGAGCTAGGAAGTCAGATTTGTCAAGTTGGAGTTACGTATACATTTATTGCAATGTTTAAAGTGTGAAGTAACTGCTTTATGACTATTATTTATCGGACAGCTTACAGATTCCAAACCTGCAGGACCCACCCATAAAATTTTATTATTTAAACTAAATTGCTACATCATCTTGTCACTGAAGCTAAATTCTTTGGAATGTTTGGTAGAATAAAATCACCCTTAATGATTTTAGACGTGCATGATCTGTGCAAAAAAATGTCTATTGGATAGATTTCGGAATTTCGCTGTCATTTATCGTCGCCAGTATATAAGCTGTAGAAACCACGAGAGATTAGTTGACCTCGACATCCACAAGAGAGATAGTGTACATCTTAAGAGCCAGACGAAGAAGTTGTTATGGCATTGAACAATAACCGCACAATCCACAAAGCTGTGAACACGAGACTACTCAGAAAATAGATATTCAATATTTAACGCGGATAAATACCTAACGATGGAGAAGGCGCGAAGAAAGAATTGAATGTACTGGAGTTGATCGAGTGGCATGGCTCGGCCATGCAGGCGTGGTCTCTGCCGAATGTTACCTTACATCATCTATTCATATTAAATATATTGTTCTTTCTCTAGCCTAACCTTGTTCTACATCATGTATTGGTAATTGATACGATACAGTGAGTTGGTGTAGTCAATGGTGTGACTTCCACGTAAGATCTTATGGATTAGGCAGTTATATCATGACGAATCTACAATTTTGGGATTAGGTCTACTATTAGAGCAGTACTAATATAATGGTAGACCATAATTCTACAAAGTCTATCAGGCCTGTGTATGAGACATCAAGTAGCTATCTTAATGCTTTATAGTTTGAGGAGAATCAAGTGTTACTGAGCATACTTCCGGCGGTTAATAAGGTTGGAATATACCGATGTCTAGGGCAGAATCGGTTATATAATTATTGCAACTGTTTTGCCTGGTGGCCGCTGCGCAGCTTCACTGACGGAGATCTGATTTGCACTACCTGACTCACTATTAGAACAACTGTTTACGGTCAGATTCCAGACAATACATTTAGAAGAGAAGACATCATCCATATAGCGGCTATTTTCCTCTGGGTCCTGAATGTTGGGAAAATCGAGAGGTTCCATCAATTGCAGCATATTTATGGGGTCAGGGGTCCTCTTGAAATCAGACCTAACCTTACAAACTTTATGATTAGGATGCATTTGGGACCTTGATGGTAGCGATTCGTAATCAGATTTCCTTGCCTTTCGCTGACACGGTGACGTA